TTGATGGCAGCATGATTTGGATTTTACTAAATCTTATACTGATAGAAGCTGACATAACAATAAACCGCATTTTCCAGCCTCAACTGTTAGTTTTAATTTTGGGCTGTCAGTCAGGGGCGGTCACTGATGATGTCATTTGGCGCCGGTACCATTTTTTACGCCAGTGGAAAACCGACATGAAAGAAGTACCAAACTTTCGGCACTTTATGGAAGTACCGAAAGTACGGTACCTGGTGCGGTGGAAAAACGCGCACAGTCACTTACTAGTCTTTCCATGACATCTGTCCCAAATGCTAAAAACTAGTGATGTACCAATTGATCAGCTAGTGAACAAAAATGGCTGATTTTCGCCCTGATTGACCGATTGCTGGTCAGCGCCAATCAGTCTAAATATGGGCAATTTTATGAGTCAAGCTTACCCAATGACATATAGGCAGATCATGTGACTGCAAGTGCAATGATTTGGCCGCCATATTGGAGATGTCGAAGCAGTGCCTTAACGCTCTGCAGATTTTGGCTGCAGAAACAGGCGTAGCTCCTGCTCCAGTGATATAACCGTCCACCAGTTAATGTGTTTACAGATCATTGTATATTTTTATCCTGACAGTTGTGTGTTATCCCCTTGCAAGCATACATTTTGCAGTATTCAGAATATCACTGGGTAGTATACTGGTTCATCTGGTATACCTGTTTTAATTTCCCATACGGTATGAATTTATCATATACTGCAGCATAGCTGAGACAACAGCTGTAACGCTTCAACAGGCAGCAAATTTTACATTATTTTTCGCTGACTGAAGCACTATGGATCACTGTGCAGACTGTATTGTGCAGTTATAAGTTTATAACAACAATTCATTATCCGCAGCTAACTTTCTTTAGCAGAGTAATGATGAAAATTACTACCAAAAAAAATCAAATATCGTGTGAACATGAGACCCCTAAAATTAATTGAAATACATCAACAGCAAGGGTCCAGACACCTTTATATACATATATGCATTTATATATTGATGTGGGCCCTTGTGTTGATTATATACCATCCTAAAATGTTATCCCAAGGCCGATATTTATGCACATATATACACATGCGGCCATATGTAACATCTTATTATTCTAATGCCTAATAATTTCAAAATCAGATTCCAGATATAAAGTTATAATTTTAACTGTTGGTGGTCTCATTTGTATGATATTTGCTAGAAAATGTGTTTACATACAAACAATGGATGGAGTGACTTTAAGATCCTGTCGTGCTCCAGGCCCATTGGCCAATAGCTGGAGACTTACCTGTCATGTCTAGTAAATATATGTCATTAAGTTGACCAATTATTGTTACCTTTTGACCCAAGTTAGTGGTGGGCGATATGGCTATACTGCAGTTGTATCCACAATGCACATTTCAGAGGTACTGTAAGAACTGTGATACAGCACTGCATGTACAGTGGTACCTCAGAACTCGAATTTAATCCGTTCAGAACTCCGAATCGAATGCTAAAAAGTTCGAGTTGTGATCAAATTTTCTCCATAAGAAATAATGGAAAACCAATTAATTGGTTCCCGGCCCCCAAAAAATATGTTTTTTTTTTAGCATTTAAACACAAAATGAACCGGATAAAATAAGAAGAGCATATACTGTACTAAACGCATCTAAGCACATTTATCAAAACAGTAATTTGTTAATAAGTAAGAAAATAAATGTATCCAAACTATGTGTAAAGTTAAAAAAAAAACAATATGTCCTCCCCCGATCGTCCGCTCCTTCCGTGTGCCACGCCCCCTAGTTAACCCCGTGTGGAATCCCCGTGTGATCAGCTGATTCTAGTTGTTGTCATTAGTCCTCTGTATTTCGTCCGTGTTTCAGTTTGTTTCCCCAGTCCAGTCATTGTATTGTCCCTCTGTGTTTTGCCTGCCTTACCTGTAATTAAACCCCGTATTCCCCGATACCCTGACGTCTGCGCCTTTGTCTCTGTTCTGTCCCCGCTCGGCACGACAATATTATTATAATTAAATGTATTTATGGTTTATTATTAATATTTAATTAATAAAAAAACTTTATTTTAAAATGTATTTTATTATATAATAATAATTACTGTTACTGTCTATCATTGTCTAAATGTATTTTTACTGTCTAAATATATGTATTCAGCTAGTGTAAACATGCAGGATGCTATCACAGTGAATGCGAGGCTGAGACTGAAGCATTTACCCTTTCTTTCCGCTGAGAGACGTGCCGCGTGACTCATTTCCCCGTGCGTACAAGTTATCCTAGGTTGGCGTTCACGGTTTGACTTCTGAGATTCAGATCGAGTTCTAGCTAATTTTTTTTCAAACTGGTTGGTTCAACTTTTAAGAAATTCAAGTTCTAATGAGTTTGAGAACTGAGGTACCACTGTACTTCAATTTGCCAGACAGTTTTGTCCATAGCGACTTACAAGTGAGGCAAATAAATGGCAGGCCATTTAGCTGTAATTCATTTGTAGAGGATATCACAAATTAAATTCTCACAAGTTAAAATGCAAACTCATAAATTCAATTTTAACTAGTTAAAATGCCAATTTGATATCGGAAATTCTATTCTACTTAGTGATATTCAAAACACCTTTCTCATTCATTTGAATGGGAGTTGGAGTTTAAGTAGCCCCACCGCTTATGCCTTAAGAACCAATGGAAGCTCTGGCCTGTCTCCCTCCCAGGTTGAAGCTGGCAGAACTGTGTTTAATTTCAGTCCAGTGTTGTATGGTTGGTACTGAAAGCCCAAGGTCTTCACGTGGGGACCTCACTCTTCCTGATGGCGGGCCTTGCGCGGGGAAGAACGAGCACCTGAAAGACTGAGCGTCTCCATGGAAACACTGGCCCCCACCCTGCCCCCCCTTTCCTGCCAGCAAGCACATCTGTGTGTCGTGGACAGTGTCGGATTTTAAACCTGTTATTCTGTAAGTGATGGAAATGAAGTTTAAATTAATTTAATGTGGAATTTGAAGTGAGCTCAATGCATGAATTGTGGGGAGAAAAGCCTGTTAAATTCGACCTGCGGCGAATGGCGTCAAACCATCTAGGGCAGACTGACGCATTTCCTCAAGAAACCTGCAGTTTTTTCTAAAGTGACGCATTAATGTGACTTAAATGTTTCTTTCAGACTTATATGTATGTTAAGTTTACAAATATCAGCGCAGTTTGTGTAGAATAATGCAAGGATCCTTTGTTCTTTGTCTGGTGTAACTGTTTCACTAGGGGTCGCTGCAAGAATGTGTGATGGGAATTCATTCTTCTGCATGGTGTTTTGTCTGGTGGGTACCGTACACACAGTGCCCCTGGTGCTTCTGTGTGCCTGCCTGTGTGTGTGTGTGTGTGTGTGTGTGTGTGTGTGTGTGTGTGTGTGTGTGTGTGCACGCGCGTGTGCATGCATGTCTAAATCTGTGGGAAAGGGCCAAGAGACAGCTGGGCTGAGATCTTTCCAAAATGAATTTTCATTGCTCTCATAGTCTTTGTTTCCTCAGTTGGTCCAATCCTGTGTTTTATGATTGTCTTACCATATTCAAGTAAACTTACTGATTTGAATTTCCAAATTATTGTTATCTGAAAACGGTACTGGTTAGTACAGGAACCAGTGTAACCTTGACAGCTATTTTTGGAATACTGAGAAAATGTTTTTTCTGTAGGCTTGTATACTTTAAGAATCTCAAGGTTAAGCCAGAAATATGTTTTAATTTTCTTGATATTCATGTTGCTTAATCTCAGATGTAATATCTGTTTTGAAAACTTTTTTATATATAGTTTTTTTGAGTGATGACCAAGCCAATAAATGCAATTATGAGTATTGTCAGTTTTTGTTTATTATTATGTCAGACTACTTATGAAAAAATCTGTGGGACGAAAGAGGTCTCCAAATAAAAAAATGACCTTCCATATGTTAATCGGGGCCAACACCTAAAAATCATAGACATGTTGTTCCCTGAATGGCCAACGGGGGGAGACAAAGCTGAGATATGATTTTGGTTAATCTGGCAGTAACCAGTAGGACACAATTGAGCTGCTCAGGTGTGGACAAATACCGTTTAATGATTATTTCCACATGACTTGAGTGCATGTGTAAACAGACAAACACGTAAAGAATGGACAAAAACCTCTTCTCTGTATTTAAATAAACTACACTTACAGTTCACAAGCGCAATGCGTACCCAAATTGAGAGATTACTACATTTTCTTCAGGTGCAGAGCTTTGTTTTTCAGAGAAGGGTTGGAGCACTCTATACATTTACACTGAACCTCATGCTTTTCCTGTTTCTGACATGTGACATTCCCCATGTGGTCACTACCATCTCTTACAGAGCTCTGTGACAGCCACTGTTCAATGTAACACTGTCACGAGTGACATGAGGCTGCGGGTCCCTCTGATCCATCTAGGTGGAGGTGAAACTGCCTCCTTGGGTCACGATGACGCATTTTCATGCAAGTTCAGGACCCCAAAGCTTGTCTATGCACATGCCTGCAGATGGAAAATGCATTGAGAAGGACCCAGTTGGACGGAGCCACATTAAAACTAATCAATTATCTATAAAATTCTATCAATACCTTTCAAAGGATGCAAACTGGTCCTTCAGATATTTAGGCCTTTTAGGGAAAAATCTATTTGTTTCTCAGAGCCAAATAGCACCACCATGTGCAGTGTCAAAACAAACATAAGCAGTAAATATCCTTGGAAATGCTTCCTGTCTTGAAAGTTCACTCCCCACAGAACAAGCCCTTGCTGTTTCAAAGCGCACAGCCTTCCTTTATTCATGAAGAAACAGAAAACAAACCATGTTTACTTGCTGGGGGTTGGGATTAGGGTTTTCCGTTGGGGGCGGAGTGGGTAGCAGGAAAGCCAAACGGTGCTCCACGTGTCCAATCAGCACGCCGTGGGTGGAGACTGCCTGAGCTGTGATTGGGCCGGTGAGGGGCCCGTCTTGGTCAGGAGGTTACAGACGGGTCCTTAGTATCCCCCAATTTGACCTTTCAGACAAACTGGGCTGGCAGAGTTTGTCTTGTTGTGTTTTGCCCTTTTCTTAACATGCCGTGTTTCCTTTAAGTAGCAAAGACCTCGTGTCTGTGGAACAGTGCAGACTGGTTTCTGCTGAAATTACACACCCATCGCAGCATTTCTTACTGCAGCAAACTGATTTTTATGGCTTGAAACACACAGCAGTATTTTTCTGGACAACTGCACGTTTGGTCGCCTTGTAGAGAATTCTTCCAGGAGCGACATACGTATAAGAAGAAAAGCGAAACCTTTGATGGAATAACTGGCCTTCAAAGCAGGCTGATGGCTGCTGCAGATATAACACCTGATTTTTGATAGTAAATCAATAACGGGCAGGCAGAGCAAAATGTGATCTGTAGGAGTCATAATCCTCCATTGGAGAATCTCTGTAGCTCTTACAGATACATGTGCTTCCTGTTAATACTCCACATAACACTCCAAAGTGAAGGACTGAAACGGGGCCACAGAGGTAAAGGGGGGGCTTTGAAACGTGTCACAGACAGTGCGGACAGAGACGTGAAATTAAGGACTGTCCCTGTCACGACAGACAGATGGAATTCCACAAAATCTTTGGGCTCTATCAGCTTCTGTTTGCTAACACAGACAAGATGCTCACTTAAAACCAGAAGTTTACAACCAGAAACGAAAAAGTTCCCGTGGCAATACTGTGACGTGACGATAAACAGTAGAATCTGCAGAAATGTCTGCGTAGAAAAAAACGAAAGATTTCTGCTTGGAGCGAGGCTCCTCTTCATCTTCAAACAAAGGAAAAATAAATACAAAGGTTCATTTATTCGGCACTGCAAAGTTAAGAAAAAAAGCAAGTAACCAAAACAATGAAAAATAAATATTCTCTTCATTAAAGTTCCCACGCAGCAGTCACATGGATTGTGTGGAGCAGTAGTAACAACAGGTGCAGTTGCAGGGGAAGCCACAAGGGGCAGCACCTCCAATCCCAGATCTAAGAGAAGCAGAAACTGCTTCCCAAAAATCCCAGCAAGAGTCTGCAATCCATTCTCCCGATTGTACCCAACTCATAAAGTGCTTCTCAGAGGAACATCATCCCATAGTGTTGAGGCACAGCATCACTGACCAGGATGTCCCACCCTCTCCTCTCTATCACTTCCTGAACGGTGTCAGCCGGCCAATGTTCTGCCAGAAGGTGGAGGCCTTGCGCTTGGGCTCAGCCAGCATGAAGACCTGCTGTGGCGGCAGGGCGGGGTGCAGCGGGGGTGCGGGGGCCAGGCCGGGGGGCCTCTGTCGAGACAGGAAGTCGTAGTACGAACGGGACAACGCTGTGGGGGGAAGGAGAAGACCCGGTCAGTGCCCTGCTCTACAGAGCTGCATACATGTTCTGCTGGGTAATAAATGGTGTTTAAAAATACACCTCAGCAATGAAACATGGGGGGAGGGGTCTCTGGCCTTGTACCTTTGGGCTTCCCCGTTGGATGGATCTTGCACGCGTTCAGCATGGCCTGCTTCCTCTGCCCGTCCGTGATGCTGAAGCCTGCAAAGTCGCATTAGTGGCGTGAGTCCAGAGCGCGACGTTTACTCTGGCAGTACTCAGCATTTCCAGGGAGAAGGTGGGTGGATTGAACCTGACACACTGCTCCTCCTTACAGACGCCCGATTCACAGTCAGCGACCGTCTGCGGCTTTACAAACCAGCCGATTACACAAGCGGCTAATTACAGACGTCTAGGCCTGCCATTCACCGCTATGACATCCCATAACCCTAATCGTAGCTGTAACCCTCTCCACAGACTGCATTTGCACTCATTTAGACTGCAGTAGAACTTAGAAATATACCAACATAATAGAAATCAACAGGTGATTGATAATGATGTTTTAACATGGACAGCAGGACTATATTCTCCTTGAACTTGTGAAGGACTGGCATCCCATCCAGGGAGTACCACTGCTTTATACCCTGAGCTTCTCCAACTATGATGAGTAAGATGGATGGATTCTCATTACAGCTAAAAGTATCCCCTATCCTATTTAACGAGGTGAAAAAGGCACTGGCATTTCCCTGCCACCAGGGGGAGCCTCACCAGTCTCCAGGTCGTGCTGCACCTGCGAGCGCTCATCCTGGAAGGCGCGCAGCCAGCGCTGCTTCTGCTCAGGCTTCTTGGCGCACAACAGCACCTCCTCTCTGGTGGGGCTGGCGGCTGTGGGCCGCAGCTTCAGCGCGTTCCTCACGCTCATGCCGAAGTCCCTGTCCCTGCCGTCCTCCACGTCCAGCACCTCCATGTGGTCCATGTCCACCCGGCCCTTGTAGTAGAGGATGTCACGACGCAGGAGGTCCTGGAGGAGCCGGAAAGATGACAAGCGGAGGCATGTGACTCCAGGTAGTGGCACTATGTGACTTACGGGGAGAGCTTAAGCCTTAAGGAAATAAGATGCACAAATGAACCTTAATGTTGACCTTAATGTTGATGTTGGTACCACCAAAAACAGGCTCACGACACACTGCACACGACACACTGCAATGAATGACATTCCTCAAACTTTCAGCATGCACTCACTTTCTTGCAGTAAATCATCTGATGGTCAAACAGGAAGAACATGCGCAACTGGTTCTTGGCCTGCAGCCTGGAGATCCTGGTCAGCTCGCCTGAGAAGATCAGCTCAGAGCTTCTGCCGAGTACGTCTTCGCCCTGGGCGACAGACAGACGGGCTTGTTCATTAGGGCTGAGGGTCGCGTGCAGTAAGATCTCCACTATGAAGATTCCCAGTGTGGTGGCCCTTCGGATAGCTTGCTCACCTCCCAGTCCTCAATGGAGCTCTGCCACTGGGCAATCTTGTCGATGTTCTCGAGACGTCGCTTCCGCTCATTGATCAGCCTGGCTACGTTCTTCATAGCATTGAGGGCAGCTTCTACATCCTTATAGTCCCTGGAAGGGGAGAACAGCCAAATTAATCACTACACCTCCATCCGTCTCCAGAGAAGAACCTCACAGAGGTGTACACTACCTCCACCTTGTTGATGATGGTTTTATTAGTCAGCTGCTGTTAATATACAACAGCTTGCTGTACACACTTTTCATCTGAGAATGCTATGGATTTCAACCAATTGTGCTAAAGGTACATAGTGCCAGAGGTGGACATTTCAGGTCCAGAAAGTAAAAATCCAAACCAGGATTTTTACTTTCTGGACCTGAAATGTCCGCCTCTGCATAGTGCATTGATCCAAACATATTCTCTCCTTGACTACAAGGAGATGACATCACCTAATGACAAGTGACACAAGGCTGTGAGTGTCATGGGGGGTATAATTATGTCAGGTTAAAGTGACTTCATCAGGTACCAACTGATAGCACAAGGTCATCCCACCTGTTGTCGACATTGAGGATTTTCCCAACAGTAACACCAACAACACACTGGACCCATACTGAACGCCCAGGATCTTCCAGAGGAGGTAAACCCAGCGTACAGACCCACCCTGGGTACTTCATAGTACTACCCACCCCCCTCCATGCCCCACCTGGCAATCTGGCTTGGTACCTGTGCTGGGGGTTGGTGTACTTTAGTAGCTCTGCCAGCTGCAGTGGGTACTTGCAGATCTTCTGCACTGGCGTGAGCAGGAAGCCATCCAGCGAGATATCGATCATCTTCTGGAGTAGACGGCAAGCCTCAAAGAAGAATATATATTTGTTGATCTTCATGAGGTTGGCGAGCTGGAGACAGGCGTTGGGGTGGTTGTTGCAATATTCTGAGTAGATCTGGAAATCCATTTGCTGGCAGGAAGAAGAGAGACAGAAGATTCATGTCATATCACAGGGCTTACAGTCCACATTGCTCCCAAACCAAAATGCCAGCTCTAATCCAGTCTTATACCTTCTAATCTCAAACCACAACCTCACTCTGTTGCAGCAGCAATTTGTGGGCTTAACCAGTAACATTAACATGTTTCATTTATAAGTCATCAAGAGTGACTTGCTAAGAACTGATTTAATTACCACAAAGTTGGGATCGGTACAGTGATAAATGTGAATGTTTTCTAGTCTCATCAGATGATGTGATTTCGAAAGGCTAATTAATTCCTCAGATAAATGGAAAATGCCTCAAATTTAGTGCAGCTTAGTGTCGTAATCAAGTCGTAATGTACATAGTCAGAAAAATATTCTACCACTGAAGAACTTGCCAGCTCTGTAGTTGAGTGTAAATGGGGATATGAAGTAAATATTCAGAACAGTGACATTCCTGATTCTGCGTCCTTTTAAATGACTGTTGGTGTCACTCTCATTGTCACTGTGTGGACACACTGCATGCATTGTGTATTGACATCTGTCCTCATATGATTAAGTAAGTCCATCTATCTTCTGAAACCGCTCATGCTATTCAGGGTTGTGGGGGGTCCAGAGCCTATGGGTGCAAGGTGGGGAACAACCCAGGATAGAGTGCCAACCCATTGCAGGGTGTGCTCACATGCCAGTCACTCACACATGCACACCTATGGGCAATTTGGTAATTCCAATTAGCCTCAGCATGTCTTTCAACTGGGGTCGGGGGGGAACATGTAAACTTCACATACATGGAACCCTGGCAGAATTGAACACAGGTCCCAGAGGTGTCAGGCAACAGGGCTAACCACTGCACCACCGTGCCACCCTCACTTAAGCACAGCAGTGGTGTTTACCACCACTCAAACCATGCATTTGTATGGGAGCCCCCGAGAATTGGAGGGCCTGTTGGTCACAAACAGTCACTACACTAGTTTGAGTGGTGTCCCATAAACCACTAGGCTGGCCCTGCTTACGTGCTCTAAGAAGCAGCAGCCAATCTCACTCAGGTGTGGCTGCTCCTTGCAGAACTTCGTCTCCAGGCCCTGGAGAAACACCTTCTGGAACCTGTAGATCTCCTCGATATTGCCGAAGATGGCGTGGAGTTCCTCTTCCGTGAACATGTCTGTCCTCTTGCGGCACTGCTTGATGTAGCCCTGCAGGGGCGGGGTGGGGGCTTGTTCATGTCTGGGAGCACATCCTGAGACACCAGCAGATCCACGTCTCAACCACGAGAGGCCACCATTACGGTCTAGCATGAAAAGATTACCTGCATGTTCTGTTTTGATAGTTTGTGAAGATCTAAGGATTCATTTATGACTTTTGATTTATATCCAATTAAGAATAGCTCAATTAATTAGGTAACTGACACAAAAATGATTCTCTCGAGGGCTTTACTGGAGCCCAAGCTTTTGTAGGACTCTTCAGCAGTGTGGAACATGCCAGACCTCACAGATGTCCTTCAGGTGCTTGATGTAGTCCCTCTCGGTGCTCATAATCTCATTCACCACATTGGCTCTCATCTGGTCCCTGCTGGCCAGACCTGGGCCCAGCAGCCCCACCATGCCAGCCCGGCCTGCTTCCCTCTCTGGGTCTTCATCCACGGGCTCATCCTGGTTGACCCGCAACTGCAACAGAGCAGTTAGGTGCAGCGTATCAGGTGACTGGACCATGCTACGTTAATCTATTAAGGAACTGCACTGGGACATGCTAAGCTAACCTACAAGGGAACAATACTGATGCCTGCAAAGTTAACCATCAAGGGAATGGCACAGATGCATGCTAAGCGGATCTATGAGAGAATGGCACTCGGGCATGCTACACTAACCTGCAAACGGAATGGGATTGAGACATGCCAAGCTAACCTACAAGGAAGCAGCATTAGGACATGCTAAGCTAGCCTACAAGGGAGCAGCACTAGGGCATGCTAAGCTAACGTATAAGGAAGCAGCACTAGGGCATGCTAAGCTAACCTACGTGGAAGCAACACCAGGGCACACTAAGCTAACCTACAAGGGAGCAGCACTAGGGCATGCTAAGCTAAAAGCTGGAGGAAAAAGCCTCATGTCTAAGGGTCCCTGCTCTATTACACAGAGACCTACACAGAGGCATAACAGAACCATAAAGTGTTAGTTGCTTTAGGGAAGTGTTGGAACTAGAAAAGTCTAACTGCATTCTGATACCTCAATTACTAGGTTATTTGCAAGAGCTTTAGCTATATTGCGAACATCACATTTGAATATGAATAGATCTATAAACTACAGCTCTCAGCAAACACTAACCCATAAACTACAGCTCCCAGCAAACACTAACCCATAAACCACAGCTCCCAGCAAACACTAACCCATTAATCACAGCTCCCAGAAAACAGAGGTGTCCTTTGTCCCATTTTCCCACCCAGACCAGCAGCTCAGATGGCTTACCCCACTTTCATGAAGGGTTCCCTCAGTAAATGAATGATCTGTTCCCAGCTTTGACACACCCGCTCTCCACACAGCACAATAAAAAAAGCCCGACTGCTGTTTCTACAGAGCCAGGCCCCCTGAGGACAATGCCAATTAACGTCGTTTCATGATTGTCTTCCAAATGATACTTTCACGGGACAAACTCCATCCTGACCTCTGAGCATTAGTAACTCTGTCGGAGTGATGCAGGGTAATTACAGTCATGTGTGGGTACGAGGACTTCTGCCCAGCTATCTGTGGCGCGGGGAAGGCAGTGTACTGAGATTCTCACCCGAACGAAGCACGCCGGGAACCAGCCCTCGCTGTCCAGAATCCTGCCCCACCACCACTCCCGGCTACTGGCATCCACCACTTCCACGACATCTCCTGCTTTGAAGCCCAGCTCCTGGTCATCCATGGTGACGTGGTCCCACAGGGCCTCGGCGTAGACCACGGCGCCATCACTGATCAGCTGCGGGGGGGGGGGGGGGGGGCACAGGTCAGCCAATCAGGGGCCTGACACCACATTCTGCTGCTAATCTCACTAAAAGCATTTCTGAACTTCAGATTCTTTCCTCTCCCAATTTTAGGTATGAGAAAAAAACAATAGTTAAGAAATTTCCTGTCAAAGTCTAGTCCCTGTCTTACAGCACACTTAGAAAATGCTAGCAGAGTCTGGAAGCTTTCATAGCACAGTGCCAGTGCTTTGTCACATTTAATAGCTGCATTGGAAATGGAGGCTGTTAATTAAAGGGTTAGGGTTAGTACGGATGTGCTGGCAATTTTGGTTTTAGCCACATGGGTGACGGCCCTGTTCTAGAAGCTTCCATAGAGGCGGAGCTGAAGCTGGACCTCTGTGGGGCAGAGTGATTAACATGATGATGAAGCGAGCCCGCACGTGATCTGAGCCACGTTGCACCGCTGCCTCCATCTTAAAGATGGAGTGAAGAGCCTGTTGCTTAGCGACACACCTACGGATGCCTGGCCCGCCTCCTGTTTACACCACGGATCATTATGTAACTAAGCTTAGAATCAGCTCCTCTCTGTTCGTCTGCTTCCTTTGTTTCAGAGTGGGGTGGGGGGAGCCTGGGGTCATTGCCACACAGCATAGGGTACATAGGGTGCCAGAGGATGGGATACCAGTCCATCGCACACACCACGAGCATTAGGACCCATGTAACATGGGGAGAACATGCACACACACAGAACTCACAGCCCTGGCACTGTCTGGCAGCAGTGCTGCCCACTGAGCCAATACTGCACCAGCTGTGTGCCAGACAAACAAAATTCATATCATTAAGAGAGAATAAGCCAACATCCTGCAGCCTCAGCCTGACCACTGACCGGAGAGCAAATCCACAGGCCTCGTGGGTTTGGGGAGCATGACATTGGCTCCTGGCCTGAGCCACGCAGGGGTCCGTCTCCCTAAACACACGGACAAAAGCGTCCGCCGTCTACAGGGATGGGGGGAGGGGCAACTCAGTCAACATATGGGGTGGGGGTAGGCCTGGGGCTCAGTAATCTGTTAGCCCCCAGCTGCTAGGTTGCCAATGCTGCTGGCATACAGTCCCAAATAAAACAATTCAACCCTCTCTCACCCCCTCCCACTGCCCCCCCAGAATCCCACTAGGTGTTCGGGTCACAACAATGCCTGGACAAATACCGAGAGGGGTCCTTCACATGATACAGTCATACTGATCACTACACACACACTACTACACACACACTACTACACACAGACGTACAGAGGCACAGACACAGACACATACATGCCTGACCCTCCCCCAGACTCCCTCCTGATCCCCCCTCCCCCTGTTTACCTGAGTCGGCTTCCCTCGGTGTGTGACGCCCATCCCCCCAGACACGTGAGCTCCCCCCCGGGCCCCTGGCCCCTACTGAAAGGCCAGCAGGAACATGAGCACCACGTTGATGACGACCAGGAGCAGCATGATGATGAAGACCACCACCTTCTGCGTGTCGGGGTGCAGGTTGCAGCGGAGCAGCATGTTCAGGACGCCCATGCGCTGGCGCGCTCGCTGGCTGTTGCGGGCCATGCCTCCTCCTCCGCTGCTGTCGCCGCCTCCCCGTGTCTTCAAGCCCCGTCAAATCCGCAGTGCTCTCCTCCCCGACATGTGGACTCCTTACCGCATCTCACTCTGGCTGCTTAATCGCCGCTCACACAGCTGTGCCTACATCACCTCCTCCCTGTCGCCTCCTCCTTGTCACCTCCTCCCTGTCGCCTCCTCTGCCGCCTTCTCGGCAAAGCGTGCTGGGAAAATGGTGGCGCCGTGCGCTCCGGGCGTGCAGCGGCTCCACCGTCCATCCTGCTCGCTCGTTCACTCGCTTGGCCCCTCTCTCTCTTTTTTTCCCCTGCTGAAGGCGGCCAATCAGCAAGCAGAGCTGGTCGGTATCCTGGATACGGGAGTAGCTGAGGCAGGCCCTAGCAACCCAGGGGAGCTGGGGGGGGTGGGGGGGGGAGCGGCGGCAGGAGGATGCGCCGTGAAGGATCTTAATGAAGCTCGTCTGCCTGGGTGCTGTTTTGGCAGCCCCTCGACCCCCTCCCCCACCCTGAGTCATGCTGATCTCTTAGAAACACAGCAGCCATAGTGGGCGTCCCTGCTGAGCACGTCCCCCACACCCCTTACAGCGCACTCCGCTGTGCTTTAATGGGATTAGTGGAGCACTCTGCCTTTGTGACCCCCCCCCGCCTCTTGCCTCTGTGCTGTTAGATCGCACCCCTCTGGACCCCCTCGCCTCATCCTGTGGCGCATGGCGCGCCGATTCCGACAGGGCCATCAAATGCTTGCAGCTTCCAGAATCATCCTTGGGGATTTCCACAGCACGTTCCCAGTCCGTATGGACGATCGGCTGACGAGCGCGGTTTTGAGGTGCAGGTCTGCATGAGCCCAGGGAGGATGAAGAGGATCAGGAGGATGAAGAGAGGTTGGAGTGGTTTTTTAATCCCGACAGTGGAGATGAGCCGCATTAGGTGTAGCGTGGCTTTCCAGTGTCTTCTAAATATGTTACCCCGCCAGGACAACAGGAGAGCAGCCAATCACAGCTCAGGTGTCCGTGCCAACCACCTCGGGAGATGGGCTGTAAATTCAGCAGCGTGGCGTTCCAGAGGTCAATCCTACCCAATCCCATGCCCCTGATGGCTCAGTGTCCCTCGAAAGTGCGTGGTGCACACACACACACACACACACACACA